GTATTTCGGTGCTCTATGAACGATTGCTTCGAGCGATGCGTGCTGACCGCATTGCCTTGCACTGATGTCGTCCCCCGGGTTTGCTACGCTTGTGACAGTAAGGCGCTGGTGAAGGATTTTGATCCTTTTGAAGAGAGAGGAAAGGAGTTCCAATGGATTTCGAACGTGGGCAGGTGCCCGATTTGTTTGTGTGTGTTGGTCCCAAGCAGTGTTGAGGCTCACTGATGTGAATTGGGTTAGAGCGCACTGCAAACGCATTAAAAATAGTCATCTCCGTGATTTGGATGGAGCCAAATTGCAGGCCACAACAGATGCAGCTGTAACCCACTTGGGTGTATAAGGTGCAGTTTCAGACTGTTTCCGAAGCGGTGAAAAAGAATACAAGGGCTGGTCTGGGAGAGAGAGGGGGGGGAGGGGGGGTGCAGTTGTGTATGGGCCCGTGTTTTGCAGGAAGAAGTCGAGTGGTTTTAGTGGGGGCGGTGTGTTGAGTTGGTGGTGGTAGTTGCGGGTGGTGTGGGCGGATGCTATACGTTTGCGAGCTCGTTCTCGATGACGTCTCCGCCGGGGAGCTCGACCTGGTATGCGATCTTGTACGGGCGTGTGACGACGGGGTTCTTGAAGATGAACTTGACGGTGACGAGTGCGTGGCTGGTGGCGGGGGCGTCCTTGACGGCGTAGTAGACGGTGCTCTCGACCTCGTTGTCGAAGGTGGTGCGGTCGAACGAGCGGCCCTGCAGGAAGACGTTGTGAAAGTCGTCGCCGCGGCCGCCGACGGAGACGGGGAGCAGCAGGGCCGGGACGTCCATGGGGTTCTTGTCGCCCGCGAGCAGGAAGGCGGACATCTGCGGGGTGAGGGCGGTGCCCGTGTTGAGGTGGGCGGAGGAGATGCGGGCCTGGATCCACTCCAGACGGCCGTTCGTCGGGGACACGCAGAAGGAGGACACGCAGCCCGCGACGTCTGCCGCAAGCGCCTCGGGTTCGAAGGGGGGGCGGAACTCCTCCTCGGCCATCGCGGGGGGTTGCGGGATGCGAGTGGTCGGGAAGGTGGTGCGGTAGCGGCGAGGGCGGGGTGGGGTAGGGGTGATGGGGTGAAGGGGTGAGGGGTGAGGGGTGAGGGGTGATGGGATGAGGGCGGAGCGTTGAGGGCGGAGCGGCGAGGGCGGAGGCGAAGAGATGCGATGCGATGCGATGCGATGGAGGGGAGGCGATGCCGAGAGGAGGGAAGAAAAAGGTGGCAACGAGGATGAAGATACAGTACTGTAACTTACAGTACCAAGGGTACAGTATGCGTCCATTGCCGTTACACTCTTTGCATTCGCCTCCCTTCCAGGACACCTGTCTCTGGCAGAGAGATGGAACATCTCTTGCCACGTTGCTTCCGTGGCCACGTACTACACGTAATACTTGTTGGCTTACGCACACACGTGGACAGCACGTACACGCTGCACACGTTGTTGAAACACCGCAACTCTCAGGAAACGCATTCTCTGCGTTCGCCAATCCCTCCCTCACCTTGCTATCTGCTGCTCCCGCATCCGCCACCACCTAACCGCAATTCCCTCCTCCGCCGCCACCTCACCACCTCCCGCACCCGCCATGATGCCGCCCCTCTTCCTCCCGCCGCGCCTCCTCCCCTCCGCCCCGCCGCGCGCCCGCGTCTTCCCGACGTGCCGCCTGCGCCCGCCGCGCCCGTCGCGCCCGTCGCGCCCGCCGGACCGCGCGCGCGCGCGCGCCGCGCTCCCGCGCCGCGCCTTCCTGCGCCTGCTGCTCGCCGCCCCGCTCCTCCCGCTCGCCGCGCGCGCGCACGAGGAGTTCCTCGACCTGGAGCCGTCGGAGCCGTCGCCGCACGCGGAGTCGCGCTACGGCTGGCCGTCGTCCACGGCCCGCTTCACCACGGCCACGGAAGACGACTTTGTGTCGGCGCGCCACGTCGGCACGGGCGCGCAGGACGTCGCCCGCATGGCCCGCGTCTACCTCGCCCGCGCGGGCGTCACCGCCTTCGTCGCCGCCTACAGCATCTTCGGCATGAGCGTGTCCGAGCGACAGGCACGCCGCACCGTCATCCCGTCCGTCTACGACCCGGCCGTCATCGCGCGCTACTGGGGCACCCGCCCGGACAAGGTCGTCTTCCGCATGGCCCTGTTCGCCTGCGAGATCGCAAAGCTCGCCTTCACGCTCACCGCACACACGCTCCAGGACCGCGGCCCGGACGCCTGGGCCGTCGCCGTGGGCAGCCGCCCGCGCTCGTGGCGCTTCGCCCGCCGCGGCGCCCGCGCAGAGAGACGCGCCGTCCTGCTGAGGGAGGCCATCATCAGGCTCGGGCCCGCCGTTATTAAACTTGGCCAGGCCGCCGCCTCGAGGCCCGACCTCCTCGGCCCCGCTGTCATTCGGGAGCTTCAGAAGCTCCAGGACGATATCGTCGACTATTACCCCACCAAGGACGCCTTCCAGCTCATCTTCGACGAGCTCCAGGCCACCCCGGCCGCTCTGTTTGAGCAGATGGAGATAGAGCCGGTGGCCGGCGCCAGCTTGGGCATGGTCTTCAAGGCACAGGTGGAGGGCACGCCCGTCGCTGTTAAGGTCCAGCGCCCGGATGTTGCCGAGAACATCGCCCTGGATTGCTTTATTGTTAGGGCGCTCGCCCATGTTGCCACCCGCTTGCTTGGGAGCAGGACCGACTTTACGCTGGCGGTTGATGAATATTCGAGCCGTTTGTTTGAGGAGCTGGATTATCGCAACGAGCTTAGAAACATGGACAAGTTTCGCCGCCTGTATGGTGATGTCGTGGGCATCTACTTACCCAAGTCGTTTCCCAAGTACTGCGCGAGGAGGGTCCTCGTGTCGGAGTGGGTCGACGGCGTCAAGCTTATCGATGACCAGGCACGCGTTAGACCAGAGGATCTGCCCCTCGTCGAGACGGGCATCCGCTTTGCGCTCACTCAGCTTTTGGACAATGGCTTTTTACACGCTGGTACGTCGCCTTCCCCTGTCGCCGCCCGCGCTCTGCGCCCGGCGAAGGGGGCACCGCTGCCTTGCCATTGAATTGTTTACTGACAGCGCCTGGTCCTATGTTTTCCTTCCGATGCCCTGTCTTGTTCCCTGTTCTTGCGCGTTTGATTGAAAAAACGCCGACTTGTGTCCGCATCAACAGATATGCACAACGGAAACAGTACGTTGACCCCATCAGCCGGGGCTTCTCCGTTTTTCACTTCTCCCCCCTTCCCCGTCGCCTCTCGTTGCGACGTTTCGCGAACGCAAACCATATCACGTCACCTCTTGAACCTCTCTTCCAAAGACTAACCTTTTTTTTTTGTTGACCGAATTCTCAAAATGACTGCGGTGTTGCCTTTCTTTTCCCATTGGTAGTGCTGCGAACGAAGTCTGGGTATCTTGCGTACATCGATTTTGGATTGGTTTCCGAGGTGCCGACATCTGTGCGCGAGTCGCTGGTGTGTGCGTTAATGCACCTGATCCACGGGGAGTACACGAGGCTCGCCGAGAGCTTTGTGGGTTTAGCTCTGATGCGCTCGGACGACATCGATGTGGACTTGCCAGTGCTGTCAGAGGCGCTCCGTGAGGCTTTTGAGCCATCAAATGAGGTGCTGGCGGCGAGTCGCAAACGCGGGATAGTGAACCGTTTTAACAACTTCACGTTGATTGGCATTGTTGGCAAGCTTCTCATGCTTGGGACTCGGTTTCCCTTTGTGTTCAATGACTACTTTCTCAACAACCTGCGGTGCCTCGGAATGCTCGAGGGGCTCGCACTGAATGCGGACCCGAATTTCAATGTTCTCGGCGTGGTGTACCCATATGTGGCAAAGAAGATTCTGACGAACTCGAGGCCGAGATACCGACGAACATTGGAAGGGTTGGTGATCGATCAGTATGGAAGAATGCGGTGGTCGAGGATGGACCGGTTGCTGCAGGACGTGCAGGACACGGCGGCGACGACAAGCGGCAAGCATGAAGAGCACATGATGGATCTGATCCGGTTTAGCGACTCCAGGCCAGCGGCGTTGCCCAGCGGTGACGATGAGAGTTGGAAGGAGAGTGTGAGGGAGGGCGGGAATGAGAATAAGAGGGCGGAAGAGATAGCCGGGCCTGTTGGGACTTTGAAAAGACGACGCAGGAAGGAGCGTGCGATGACGACGCAGAAGAACTCTGCAGACCTTGTGCTGGGATTTATCACGTCGTCGCACGGGCAATTTCTGCGTAAGTACATCATCCAGCAGTACACAATGGACATGGCGAAGCGGTGGCGGAGGCGGATCGACCGTGTGACGTCGTGGAGGTCGGACGCCGGTGAGGGGGTCAAACCGGAGAACTCTAGTTCAGATTCATCAACAGGGTTGGTCGGGCGAGGTCGGTCAAAATATGACGTACTGCACCAGATGGCGCTGCGCGCAACGGAGCGAGAGCTATCAGACGACGAAGCGCGGCTGCGCACGCGGCTGTTCTTCCGACGGACGCCGATATCTAAGCGGTTTCACGTGCTGGGGCGGCTGGCCCCGGGCTTTGTGCTTCCAGTGTTGGGGACGCTGCTCGGGCTGGTGGTGTACTTTTTGCAGCGGGTGTTCGGGCTCGTGCAGGAGCGGGGGCAAGATGGGGAGGACGCGTTCGCCAGGGTGGGAGTTGGGGCGGAGGGGAACGGGGCCGTGAAGGATGAGCGGGCGGAGGGCGAGGTGAGGAGGTGGTCGATCGACGAGGAGGAGCGGCGCTTGCAGTCGTGGCAGCCGCTCGACTCGGTGTTCCTGAAGCGCACGCAAGCGACGCCGCGGCGGGAGGCGTCGTCCTCCTCGGCGGAGGCGGCAAAGTCGATGGGGTGAAGCGGGGCGCGAGGAAAGACGTAAGGCGTGCGTAGTTAATTTAATAGTAAGGGTGTGTGAAGGCGACGCCGTTGAGATAGTGAGTAAGCGACCGCGACAGCGGCGCGGCGCAACGTCATCTCCGCATCGAGCGTATCCTTCTGCGCGCCCCGAGCAGGCCGGTGCGCTGCGGCGGCGACGGCGGGCGCGGCTCGCGGTCCAGGTCGTACGAGCGCGACTGCTCGCCGGGGTAGCCCGGCGGCGGGCGCGGCGCGGACTGCAGAGGCGGGGGCGGCATGTTCGGGAACGACGGCGGGCCGTACGGCGACGAGACGGGCGCGCCGTATCGCGGCGCCTACGG